TTTTAATTGTGGTAAAATATATATAGTATAACATTTTCCATTTAATCTCTTTAAGGATTTCATTCAGTGGCATTAAGTACATTTATATGGTTATGCAACCATCACTATCAATCATTTACAAAACCTCTCTGTTCCTTTCTTTCCCCCAACCACTGGCAGCTACTACATTATTTTGTCTCTGAATTTGACTAGTTTAGGCATCTTATATATGTGGAATAATACAGTGTTTGCTTTTCTCTGGCTTATTTCATGTAGTGTAATGTCTTCTCAAGTTTCATCCATGTTTGCAGCATAGGTCAGAATTTCTTCCTTTTAAGGCTGGATAATATTGCACTGTTGGTACCACAGTAGGTTTACCATGCTTGGGCACTTGAGTTACCTCCACCTTTTGCTTACTGTGAATAATGCCGTTTTGAAGATGGGTGTTCAAATGGCTGAGTCCTTGATTTCAGTTCTTTTGGATACTTACCCAGAAGTGGGATTGTTGGGCCATACTGAAGTTATTTGTTTAATATTTTTGAAGAGCCACCCTACTGTTTTTCCAGTGGTTGTACCATTTTACATTCATTCCAGCTGAAAATGTTGAGTTTTAATTTTTCCATATATTCATCACCATTGTTATTTTCTGTTTTTTGAATAATAGCTATCCTAGAATGTGGTTTTTGTTTGTTTATGTGTTTTGGGTTGTTTTTATTTTTTAACTTAGAGCAGAAATCACTCTTTGGGGTATATATTTCAGTGAGTTTTGACATGTGCCTAAAAACTTGCAATCAACACCACAGTCAAGCAACAGAACAATTCCATTACGTAAAATTTTCCAAGCTCCCTCTTTGTAACCCTCCTATCATGAGTTCCTGGCAATCTGATCTATTCTTCATCCCTATAATTTTGTCTTTTCCTGATTATCATATAAATTGTATTATATAGTATGTGGTTTTTTTTGAGGCTGCCTTCTTTCATTCAGCTTGATACATTTGAGATTTGATCATGTATATCAGTAGCATGTTCTTTTTCATTGTTAGTTTTCAACTCTGTGATGTACCCATTTATTTACCCATTTAATACTAGAGAAATACTGAAAACTAATTGTTTTGTCTTTTGGCAAATTCTGAGTAGAGCTATTTTGGTAATTCTGAATAAAGTTATTATAAATATTTATATACTGATATTTGTGTGAACACAGATTTTGTTTCTCTTGGGTAAATACTACTACAATGTACTAGAATTCCATTTGCTGCACGTTACTTATTAGCACTAGGTATTCCTAAGTAATCTTAATCCTATACCCTATTCTCATATCATACGGTGTTATCCACAACTTGCCATTTCTCATCCATCCCTTCATTTTGCCAATTATGTACTCCATATTCCTAAAATTTACATGAATTTGAATACCTAATAAAATAAAACATAATACAAAATTCAAATAACTGTCCTCACTTGTGTCCCTCTTGTATCTATTATGTATTTGTCATAGCACCTTCTACATTACCTGCAAGGATTTACATCTTTGATCCCTATTATACCACAAGTTTGATAACAGGAATAGCTGCTTTTATTCATCTTTGTATCTTCAGCAAAGTTGTAGGCACAAGAGATGGGGAACTCAGCAAATATGTATTGAACAAATGTCTATGTATAAAGCAGGGTACACAGCTGGTGGCATAACATAGCTGTCCAGAGTAAATTCTACTGTTATTATATTAGGATCTAATTTAACGTGTCCCTCACTCTCTTTTCCTTCCTCCATTCTTTTTTCTTCTTCCTTCCTTCCCTGTCTCCCTCCATGTCTCTTCTTCCCTTCTGCCCTTTCTTCATCCCTCCTTTCTTCCTTTCTTTCACTGGAGATCAGAGCTAGGGCCTTGTGCATGCATGGTAAACATTTTACCACTGAGCTATATCCTCATTCCTTAATATCTCTTTTCAGTTGTACTCACTTTATGGTCACCAGTCACTTCAGATTGAACTGAAATATGTTGTTTCAGGGGCCTGTGACATTAAAGGATGTTACTGTGGAGTTCACTAAGGAAGAATGGAAATTACTGACTCCTGCGCAAAGGACCCTGTACAAGGATGTGATGCTAGAGAATTACAGACACCTGGTCTCAGTAGGTGAGAAAGACTTCCCCATATGGAACTCCCAGTAGTTTCCACTTCTCTTCCCAGTTGCTGGAATATGTAAGGGTCCTATAGGATTGAATGATATTAGCTTTGTTTCAGAGGTCAAAGTAATCCATTTTGAGTACCAGAAAAATATGTGTCCTAAGTGGGATCCTTGTTGCTTTCTTGAAACTACTTCCCAAATTCCAGAGTCCCTAAATTCCAAGCAATTTGTATTATTTCTCTTATCTTTTCCATTAATAGGTTACCGTGTGAATAAGTCAAATGTGCTCTTAAAGTTGAAGCAAGGAAAAGAGCCATGGATACTGGAAGTGGAATTTCCACGTCGCAGTAGCCCTGGTGAGTTACAAGTTATACCCCTGCTAGCAGGAGGGGTTGGTGCCTCTTGCCTTTTGAAATATTTTTCAAGAGTCTCTCTGAATTCGCTATAATTTGGAAATGATTTGTGGACACCTTATCCGCATGTGGATACCTTATCTTACATGATTGCATATGTAAGAATCCTAAATAATGCTCCCAATTTTTGTTCTCTCCACTTAAATTCTTCTTTGCTATAAATTTTAAAAATAAATTTAGTTCTTTATCCTGTATACAAAATCTAAACCCTCCCTAACCTTATCTGAGAATTTTGTGTTTTTTTCTAGAATTCCCAATTACTCCCTGCCATTGGACTGTACAACCATGAAGTTTTAAAATCTGAGTTATAGATGTGTTTTTAAATGATATCTCTCACTTTTAAATTAACAACATGTCTTTGTTGTTTTTAGTACCAGTTTTAACAACCTAGTCTCTCTTTAAACTTTCAACTCATTATAAATCATTAAGCTGCTCATCCATTATATTATTTCAATACAATTGATACTTCTATATACATTTATCCTTCATATGAAGTACTGATTACCTTTCTTAAAATCTACTGTACCCTTTTTTGGGTATTATGATGCCAAAATAATCCCAACCTGCTTCCTTGAATGTTTTTATGACCTTCTGACTTGCACACTGACATGTTGCAAGGATCAGGGAAAAGGCCTAGTACATATTTGTTGCTCACTAGATATTTGTTGAAAGAATGAATTTTGATTAACAAGACAAAGACACATTTCGCTGTGTTCTGCTCTATGTTCCTGCAAGGACTCACTCCTTCTTAAGACCAAAGCTTGGGTCTTTATGTTGAAAACTCCTAAAACCAATCTCTCTATCTTTGTCTTATTTGTATCCTGGTTCCATATTTTACCCTCTTACAACAAGATGGTTCTATTAATCTCACCTTTTCCTTCTTAGGATCAAGAACAAACTCTTTTTTTTTGTTTTTTGTTTTTTTGGCTTTTTTTTGGTCAGGGTCTCACTATACAGTTCATGCTGGCCTTCAACTAACTCAGTATGTAGCACTGGCCAGCCTCTGCAGTGATCCTCCTGCCTCAGCCCCTCAGTTACTTGCCATGACTATGGGCGATCACCACTGCATCCACCCAAATTTTTAATTTAAATTCTCTAAAGTAGTTGTGTAGTACAGCAGATTTATGCCACCACTGGCCTATCATGGTAAACTAATGCTGACTCACTATTATGGTATATATTTAAACTAATTTTTTCTCAAGAACAAGTCTGGTTCTGTCTGGGCTGCAGCAGCTTATTTGTCCTATTAGCCCCCAAACATGTTAATCTCCACCTTACCCTTCTGTCACATGTTTTGCATGCATAGAAACTTATTTCACATGTATCCAAGTTAACCTTGCATGAGTCCCTATCACTTTTTCCCAAATGCTATGAAATTTCAACTTCAAATCTCTGCTTAGAATTTTTTACTTTCACAGATTATTTACTTTTTGTTTCTTAGAGACCGGGTCTTCCTATGTACCCCAAGCTGGCCTTGAACTCACAGCAATCTTCCTGGCTCAGCCTCCCAAGTTCTGGGATTAAATGCATGTGCCACCACACCTGGCTACTTTCATGCATTTAAAGATGAATATATATATGGTCTGAAAAGGTTCTAGAATGATGTTAAGTAATCTAGTCATTAAGGATGATGTAATAAACTGGAAGCAGAGATATATGAGCCAAGATATAAAAGCAATACTTGAGACTTGTGTTGAATTGTGGGTAATGGTGCTTTGGAAGTACAGGATTTGGTAGTCAGGATAGGTGTAGGATTGAAAATGTCACTTGCTACAACTGGGAATTCATCTTGTTGTATAGATGGCTTGCCCTCCACTTTTTCAAAAATCCTTCTTTTTGATATATACATTTTTGGATATTTTTAACCTGCTGAGAATTAAACCATCTATATAGACAGTGAAAGCCTAAGCTATAGTACTGTTCCTCTAAATATAGAGAAATTGATGACTGAGAAATACACTTTAGTATTGACATTTGGGTTGTGGATAGATAGAACAATGTTGTTCTTTCTAATCTGCAGTTTCACTTTCCATGGACTCGTTATCTGCTTTGTCCTGTCTGGGATATGAATAATTCTTTTTCCAGCATATCCATGCTATGTACATGACCCACTTTAGTCACTCAGTAGCCATCTCAGATATCAGATCGACCACAGAGGGTTGCAGGGCTTATGTTCAAGTCATCCTTACTTTACTTAACAGTGGCCCCAAAGCACAAGGGTAGGGACGCTGGCAATTCAGATATGCCAAAGTGAAGCTGTGAAGTGCTTCCTGCAAGTAACAAGGTGAAGGCTTTGTGTGTATGTGTGTGTTAAACAATATAGTAAATGCTGTATATACTATAGAATATGAAAGAATACAGTATACATACTGTTCAGTACTCTCTGTGGTGTCAGCATCCACTGGTGGTCTCAGAATGTGTCCCCTGCAGGGCAAGGGACAGCACTATACAAGGAACCCTGTGTGTAGGGGAAAGACCTATACTTTAGCTCCTTTCTCCAACTTCATTTTTTCCTCATATTTCCAATAAACACAGTTGTCCACTAATTTTTCTCATTCCACTTACTGTTCACTGTCCTTAATGGGATCACAACATTCTCTGGGATTACCACATTACTGTTCAGTGACACTTGGAGGGTATTTTGTTCTTTCATTTGAGTGTATTTTGCTCCATGCTTTTTTTAATTTTAAAGAGAATTTAAAAAATAATAAAAATGGGGCCAGGCGTGGTGATGCAGGCCTGTAATCCCAGCACTCAGGAGGCTGAGGCAGGAGGATTGTTGTGAGTTCAAGGCCAGCCTGGGCTACAAAGTGAGCTCAAGTTTAGCCTGAACTGCATAGTCAGACGCTGTCTCAAAAAGACAAACAAAACAGAACAAAACAAAACAAAAACAATAAAAATAATACAAAATTTCAAAACAAGATAGATATTAACAACTGTTCTTGTATTACATATTGTTATCTTCATAGTAGTTGTTCAGATTATCAGATATAGGCATGCAAAACTGATCAATTAAGCATTAACTGTTCCTTTCAATAAACCAACAGAAATTAGAATTATCTTAGCTACCTTGTGTGTGTGTGTGTGTATATATATATATATTTTTTTTTCCCCCCTTCCTTCTTTCTTTGCTTTCCCTTTCCCTGATCTCAGTTGTTCTTTCCTTTTGAGCAGTTCCTTTCCCTTTCACAGTATCTATTGTACCTTTTGGATTTTATTTACTCTTTCAGTTTCTTACATTAGGGAGGCAATTCAGTGTTTACACATGTGGTTCTGATGTATTCCACTTATGAGTATGGTTGCTAGTTGCATCCATTTACCTATAAAAGCCTTGAGTTCATCTGTTTTTATAGCTGAGTAATACTCCATTTTATAAAAATACCACACCTTTTGTATCCATTCCTCAGTTGATGGCTATTTATGTTGTTTCTAAGATTTGGCTATGACAAATTGCCCTGCTATAATCATGGGTGCACATATATCACTGTGGTATTCCCACCCAAGAAAGAATGACTGTTCTCAAGAAATCAACCAAAAACAAATGCTGGAAAAAGGAACCCTTCTCCACTGTTGGTGGGAGTGTAGACTGGTACAAGCACTGTGGAAATCAGTGTGTGGAGATTCCTCAAAAAACTAGGATTAGAGGTCCCATTCGACCCAGCTATTCCCCTTCTTGATATTTTCCCAGAAGAATTGAAAACTCCATGTTGTTTTTGTCTTAGATTTTACCTCTGAATTTTTAAAGTCACATAAGTAAAAGTGGCAGCAGTGCTTGGGCTTATAATCAGGTTCTTTCTCTGTCTGCTACAGAAGATTTTAGTGTTTTTAATGTTTTTTTTCCCCAAAAAATAATGGGCAAAGGAAGTTTCCATTTGAGAGTTCTTTCATTTTGGTAGTTGGCCTGAAGCCTAAGAATCAAATCTATAAATATAACTGTTAAAATCTCAATTCCCTTGTAGAAGACCTATGGAATACCCATGATCGTGGAACATCGTACCAGGAAAGCCCAGCTGGTAATTCAAGGCAAGTTCAACAATTAATATTTAAGATAGAAGCTTTGTAGAAAGTCTTGATGGGGGTACTGGAAATGGGAGTATTAGTTAATACTGAATGTGGGAAAACTGACATGGAAGTGAATCCCAAAGAATGTAATCAAAATGGCAATGCCCTTTAACATAAGAGACCATAGTAGGATCAGAAGATTCAAACTTGGAAGTCATCTTTTGTTTCTTCTGAATTATCCAAAGTAGAGTGCCGGCAGCTGGGAAATCCTGTGGCTATAATGCATGTAAAGGTTCATTCTTGAACCTTCAGTGTTAAACTGTAGTGTTAAACTGCACTGTGTGACAGAATGTTCACAGTGGAGAAACCCTGTAAACCTAGTGGATATGGGAACATCTCTAGAAGTTGGTCCTCAGAGTTACTTGAAAAATACACACACACACATACACACACACACACACACACACACACACACACACATATACACACACAGCCTTAAAAGTCTTACCCATTAATGAATCTGAAACTTTCTATGTAGGACTGGAGAACTCAAAAAACTTCAGAAAACTCATCACCAAGTAGAAAGCTATGAATGTGATGAATGTGGGAAGTCCTTCTGCCAGAAGTCTGCCTTTACAGTGCATCGGCATACGCACTTTGAGAACAAGTCCTATGACTGTGGTAAATGTGGGAAATCCTTTTCTAAAAATGAAGACCTCACAGTACATCAGAAAGTTCACACCAGAGCTAAAACCTATGAATGTAAAGAATGTAAGAAGATCTTCTATCACCTGTCATCTCTTAATAGACATCTAAGAATTCATGCAGGGGAGAAACCTTATGAATGCAATCAGTGTGAGAAATCCTTCTACCAGAAGCCACACCTCATGGAGCACCAGAAAACACACACAGGGGAGAAACCCTTTGAGTGTACTGAATGTGGCAAGTTCTTCTATGTGAAGGCATACCTCATGGTTCATCAGAAAACACACACAGGGGAGAAACCCTTTGAGTGTAAGGAATGTAGGAAATCATTTTCCCAGAAGTCACATCTCACAGTACATCAGAGAACACACACAGGGGAGAAACCCTATAAATGTAAGGAATGTGGGAAGTTATTCACTAGGAATTCACACCTCAAAACCCATCAGAGAACTCATACAGGAGAGAAACCCTATGAATGTAAGGAATGTGGGAAATTCTTCTACCAGAAGTCAGCCCTCACAGTACATCAGAGAACTCACACAGGAGAGAAGCCCTTTGAATGTAACAAATGTGGCAAACACTTTTTCTATAAATCAGACCTCACTAAACATCATAGAAAACACACAGGGGAGAAGCCTTATGAATGTACAGAATGTGGTAAATCTTTCTCTGTGAATTCAATCCTCAGATTACATCAGAGGACTCACACAGGAGAGAAGCCCTATGAATGCAAGGAATGTGGAAAATCCTTTTCTCAGAAATCACATTTTATCATACATCAGAGAAAGCACACAGGAGAGAAACCCTATGAGTGTCAGGAATGTGGGGAAACCTTTATCCAGAAGTCACAACTCACAGCACATCAGAAGACACACACACAGAAGAAGAAAACTGACCAATAATATGGGTCAGGAATTTCTGTCTGAACTCATCCTCATGTAATTCACAGGAGAAACCACATGCATACCATTAAGGAAAACTTTTCAGCCAAATTTTTTCCTTGCAGAATATCAGCAAATGCACATAGAAAAAAATTCTACACATTTATTAAGAAGTTTTTACCACACAGTAGATTTGACTGAATATCAGACAATATAGATGGCTGAAACTGTACAAATTATAAAACATGAATAAAACTTTTATTTCATAAGTCATCCTTTATTTTACAACATAGAAATCACATAGGAGAAAAATCCTTAAGTAAAATGAATGTCAAGTTTTCTGTCAGGACAGCCAACATACCACATCCAAAAGCTTACATGTTTGAGAAATTCCTGAGTATTCCACTTTTACACAAGTTGCTCTCATATATTAGAAAATTCAAAGGGGATACCTGCAAAGATTGTGGCAAATATATGTCTTTATCAAGAACTGATGTTCCTTTGAATGTCACATTAATGTTTGGATAATACCTTTATAGATATTTGAAAAAGTTTCACCAAAAAGGAAAAGAATTTGTACTGAGGGAAGCACTTATACTGTACATCATGTTACAGATTCCAAGATTGCTTTTTCTTTTTAAAGAAACCTGCAAATATCGACACATAAGAAAGTTTTTAAAGCCAAAATGAGTAATCAGGCAACACCGTTAAATACACATTTAGAGTCTTAGTGTAGGGCTTATGTATATGAGTGTGCTATAAAATGTAACTTGTAGATGTTTGACATGCATGTGGACCTATCCCATAGTTGTATATAAGAAAACATGTCACCTTAGTTCGGTAATTGTTATGTGTAGGAAGATGTGACCCGTTGTCCCAAAGGTGACTCCTGTTGTTATGTATTATAGTGCAATACTCTTTAAATTATAATGTATCTTTTCTGCCTTCTTCATGGCACTTATATATATTATAGTTACTGCTTTTAAAGTGGAACTAAAATGTTTTTGTGAAATGTTCAGCTGTGTGGTCAGCCAGATTTTGAATTAGGGACATATTTATTTTTGCAAAAGTCTGAACTGCTTTTAAAGTAGCTGAAAACGGTAAAACTATTGCACTCTACACAATAAAAACTGAGTGCTATGTAAGAAATATTATTTCTCTTACATTAACTATTGAAATTTGAGTAGGGTGTAGAGCTATCTGTGTCTGTATTCTGTATCGGAGTCCTAAATGTTCTTCCTTGCCTTTTTCATCCTAGTAGAGGTGACTTAGCATAATGGTTAAACTTATTTTACACAGTAAGTTTTCTGTTACTGAGAGCTGAAAACATTGCAGCCATTTACAAGTATACTTTTATAAATGTCATGTGTTTTAGAAATGATGCACAGTAATTTGTGAATAGGTAGTTTTTGTGCAGTATATTTATATGTTAAAAGCTTAAGCTTAGAAGTACTTTTTCAAGGAAATGTGGTTTTTTACTTGAATTGTGGACTCTGGACTCCTATTGCCTTGGCTCAGATGCCAGCATAGGGCCTGCCGCTCATCCTCCATTGTGCCTCAGTTCCTTTTCTATAAGAGTAGCATTAATAACATCATAGGATTGCTTTGAGGTTGAAATGAGTTAATATTTTTAAAGCACTTACAACAGTGTCTCAGACTCAAGATATTATCAGATATTATCATTTTAATTTACATATCCTGAATTGTTCTGCCAAAAAAAAGACAACCAAGTATTATCTCTCACATTATTGCTGCTAGTGCCTTCATTTTTTTTTTTTCCTTCTCTTTTTCTTTTTTAGTTTTCTTCAAGTAATTCAAACAGAGATCCTGACTGGGCTAGGACAGGGATTGACAAACTATAGCCCATCAACAAGATCTGGTCCACAGTCCATTTTTGTAGCCCACAAGCTGAGAATAATTTTTATTACTAGATGGTTGAAAATTAAAGAATATTTTGTGGCATATTAAAATTATATTCGGGGTTGGGGATTTAGCTCAGCGCCAAAAGCGCCTGCCTGGCAAGTGCAAGGTCATGAGTTTGATTCCTGGTCCCGGAAGAAAAACCAAAACCAAAACAAAACAAAAATTATATTCAAATTTCAGTGTCCATACGTAAAGTGTTTTGAGAAAACTTACACAAACAAACCTCACTTCTTTATGGTTTGCCTGTGGCTGCCTTTACCCTACATCAGCAGAATTGAGTAGTTGTGACAGACCAAATGGAACACAGAGCCCAAGATATTTACTACATGGCACTTTACAAATTAAGTTTTCTGTTACTTAGAGCTGAAAATATTGCAGCCATTTACAAGTATACTTTTATAAATGTCACGTGTTTTAGCAATGATGCACACAGTAATTTGTGGATAGGTAGTTTTTATGCAGTATATTTATATGTTAAAAGCTTAAGCTTAGAAGTATTTTTTCATGAAATGTGGTTTTTACTTGAATTGTCATAATATCAAAACAAAAAATTTCCTGGTGGAGCATAACAAATATATGAAATAAACATTGTCTAAATGAAATTGAATTGTTAATTGATCCCTCCTGTAGTATTCCTGTATTTTCTTTCAAGTTAATAGCCAGCTTCCTCATATTATTTTACAATTTTCACATTATCTCATCATATCATTTCTATGTCATATTTAACATCTAATAATATAAAATTTACAATATTTAACTCTACTATGTTACTAATAACCCATAAAACTTCCAGAATTTCATATACAGATACTGTACCACTTAAGGTTCAACATACAATTTTTTAACTTTATGATGGTATGACAATGACTAGAAAGCTTACTGCAATTTTTAAATGTTATTTTTCCCCCAGGCTACTAACAGGAGGTACAATACTGTACTCAAAATGCTGAGCAGCAGCAGTGAGCCACAGCCTGGTCAGCTACATAATCAAACGGTAAACAGATATTCTACAGGGTACTGTGTTGCTAAACCATGATGTATAGTAGGGCAGGAGTGTTAAATGCATTTTCAACTTAAAGATATTTTCAGCCTAACAATGGGTTTATCAGGATATGATCCCACTATAAGTTGAGGAGGATCTGTAACTGTCAAAGGGTGTTCTAATCCAAAAATTGCTGGCATTTTCTTCCCCTTCCTAATAAAGGTAACTGATTGATGTTGAATTTATTAAGCATCCTTCATTCTGACTTACCTAGTGAACATCTAAAATAGTATTAAATTATTGATTAGATCTGAAAAGGTATACTTTGTACTCACATGGTATAACTTCTGAACATGCTATGTAATATACTATCCATATCTCATTCTAATCAGCTTGAACACAAACACACCAGCTGGGCAGAGTTTAGTAGGTAACATCTATCTGTAGACAGCCCTTTAGGGTAGTTCTTTTTTCAACCTATTGTGAAAGAAGACATTTTCTAAATCTCTGAGGCTTCCCAATAAAAAATTAGATAAACGTTAATGAGTACTATCTGGGGACAGTCCAAAAACTGGCAAATTAAGAATTAAGCCTGAGCTAGGCATAGTGGCTCAACCCTGTAATCCCAGCACTTGTGAGGCTGAAGCAAGAGGCTCACAAGTTTGAGTTCTGCCTATACAATGTAATGCATTGATGACAAACCAAGTGCCCAAACTGCAACTCAAAAGTCATTTATAGCAAAGTGCCAACATTGCAATTAAACCTGAATATCCAATGTTTGGCTGCTGGGGCAATGATGGGGTGGCATGGGTCTTGTGCCAACAGAGAAGGCTCTGCATGCCCACTGTGGTATATGTGCCATAGGTTCACCACCAGTAATATAGTGAGACCTTGTTTCAAAGATTAAACAAAAATTTTAAAGAGCTGGAGAAGGACCTTAGTACAAAAGCCTTAGAATCAAATCCTAGTACCACAGAAATAGACAAACAAATAAACCTGTCCTGATGAGAATACTTTTAGCAAGCAATACTCAACTGATGAGAACAGAATGTTCCATTGCATACACACTCTCATCAGCACATGTGCTCCTGAAGGTTGGCCAGTCAATAACCGCTTTCACTTTGACCATGCTTTCAAAGGTGACAGGTGGGTTACAGCCTCAGTCCAGTGTCCACACTTTTATGACCAAAAACCACCTAGTCCCTTGACACTACTGTTTTTAAAGCCCACCAGTTCCTGAATTCCTTATTTCCCAAAACCTCCTATTATTTCATATATGGTAATTTACAAGTACAGCCCTCCTTTGGTTAGTATGATGGCCAAAGATGCACTATCAATTCCTTTCCTTGCACCCTTCTCTTCATAAGGGGGAGATTCTCATCCCTGTCTTTCATTCTGGTCTAGCCTGAAACTTGTACTGATTTAGGAGAATGTGGCAGAAGTGCCAGGCAACCCATTAGGAAGTGTGCCAGCTTCTACCTTCCTTCTGGAAGCTAACATTTTTTGGATGTCATAGATAGCCTGACTAAACACAGACTGAGCTCTATTACCTACTAACTACTATTGTGTTTACCTAAAAATATATAAAAATGAGGTTCACTGTTCACATCCCATCTATAGTTTCTCATTTGCAGTACATATGAACCATATGTTAACATTTGTACAGCAGGGCATGGTGGTGCACACTTGTAATCTCAGCACTTGGGAGGCTGAAGCATAAGGATCACCATGAGTTCAAGGCTAGCCTGGGCTACATAGTGAGTAGCACACAGCTCTCAGTGTTCCCAGGGAAAACAGCGAAAGGATCAAGAAATAAAAACAAGAGACCAAGCTAGGGTCAGGTGGAACCCTCTCTCTGGATGGGAGAAAAGGAACTGTCCAAGAACTCTAGAGCATTTATTTATACACTCATGAGGTTGATGTCCTAGAGCACATGATATTAAGCAAAAGCAAAACACAGTATGATCTTATTTCTGTGTGGGATCTGAGAAAGTTGGACTCACAGAGGTGTAAAGTAGAGGGGGCTGTGGAAGCTGAGGTCACAGAGATGATGGTCAAACAACGCAAAATTTCAAGAGATCTATTGTATGACATGGTAACTTTAGTTCATGACAACATACTGTGTTCCTGAAAAATTTGACAGTAAATTTTAAGTGTTCTCATGTAGGTAACATGTAGGTTAATTATGGACTTAGGTATTCCACCATATATATTTCAAACGTGATTTGTGACAAATGTATGTATTATTGTCCTTTGAAAAAATAAAATATTAAAAATGATAAATCATTTACCACTTATGTTGATAAGAACAGGGTTAATATATTAAGCATAAAAAGACTTCATAAAAATAGATTAGCAAAAGTACCAACATTCTAAAATAGAAATTGTGGGGGACTTCCAGGAAGATGGCAAAGTGGTAAGAAGCAGAAAAAAACTGTCTCTGAGATTTTCTGTCCAGACATTGGAATATGAAAACATGAGGAGGAGAGGAAGGGAAGTGGGTTCCTTGGACCCAGGAAGGATCTGAAGTGAGAATTGAAGCCCATGGGGAGAGCAAAGAGAAACTTCAATGTAGAAGGAGGTAGTAGATGAGGACTTCTGTGCTGCAAAAAATTTTCTGGTTTGTTTTACATTTTGTTATATAACCACAAATCTAGTTCATATGGTAAAAGGTGGCAAATTAATGGTTACCTTGGTCATTTTTCTGGGCTGTGTTTGATGCTATTGCTTTGCTGATTGTACCACCTTAGCCAAAGTGACATAACTGTTCTAACCAGATGTTCTTCCTGGTATACCAAGACTGACAGTTTATAGTGGCAGTTTTTAATAGTCAACTATTGAAAACAGCCCAAATTCCCATCAACTAGTGAGTGAATAAAGAAGATGTTTTTTTTTATACAATGGAGTATTTCTCTGCCATAAATAAGGATACGCTTGAGACATTTCTAGGTAAATGGGTGCACCTTGAGACCATACTCTTAAGTGAAATAAATCGGACACACATGTATAAACACTGCACTGTTTCTGTCATATGAGAAATGGAAAGTGTACATAAAGACCAAAATGTATAATGTGTACTGTATAACAGGAAGAAAATGTTCAAATGGGTAGAGGAAGAAGGGAGGCAGCAGAGGGAAAGAAAAGAAAAGTTTAAAAAAATGAGAAAGGAAGGAAAAAATGGAAACAAAGCTTTTGTAAATGGTGAGGGGAGGAAGGGTGGGAGAGAGGCGAGGGGGATGGGGGAAAATCAAGTTATATAATGTGCAGGTACAAATTCTCTATGATGATATCATTATGTATTATCATTGTGTGTCTATATATAAAATGTACCAATAAAATCTGATTAGTGGAAAATGAATTGTATAAAGGATATGATTAGGAAACACAAAAGTATATATTTACAGGAAGGTAAATTAAGAAAGGTACCAGAATATGATGGCACATACCTGTAATCCCAGCACTCAGAAGGCTGAGGCAGAAGGATAATTGCAGGTTTAAGGCCAGCCTGGGTTACACAGTGAGTTCAAGGCCAGCCTAAACTACAAGGCAAAAACTTCTCTCAAAACAAACAAAAAAATTAAGAAGTGTTCAGCACATAGAATTCTAAACTCAGAAGCAACAACATAACTTTTTCACTTAACTAATTTAACAGGTATGAGAAAAAAAAAGAATATTCCGTGTCAGCAAGCACTTGGATAAATGTATACTCTTACGGCGCTAATGGATGGGGGCTAGTACAAACTCCAAGAGGAAACATGGATTCCCAAATAGCTCTGATCCTTTGACTCACTTTGCAGTGGGTAATCCTAAAGAAATATTTGTAGGAGAAAAGGATTTATGTAGTATTATATATAATAGCAATGATTGCAGATGAAGGAAAATATAAATGTTATGGAGAATACATGATAGAATATTATTAGGCACTAACAATATTTTAAAACTATTTAAGAAAGTAAAAATAATTGCCTGTAAAGGTAAAGGAGAACTTAAATATAGGTACAAAATGATACTGTGATTCTGTGTGTGTCTATGTAAAACATATATATACACAGGGAAAAGCCTGGTTAAAAACAAATGAAATGTCCACAAATGATGAGAGGAGGGAGGGAAGAAATGGTGCATTTCCACAGACACAAGTGAATTGAGGGGCCCCAGATCCATCTGTCCCCTGATACTGCTGCCTCCAATGGGGACCTTGTACATGTAGCTGGTAGGCACTTCCTGTGACCGCTGACCAAGAAGGGAAAAACACTAGGCCTAGTTTATGGGTAGACTAGCTCAGTAGGCTGGAGGAAGTTAAAAATGAATTCTTGGTATACTTCACATCCACTGAGGCCCACCCCTGACCATGGTAGGACAGACCCTCTCTGTGTGCTGATCTTCCAACAGAAACAAAAGAAATCTAGTCATCAACTGTACGTATAGGAAAATGGCCTCAACTTTAAATATGTATTAATTCTTTGCCAACAGAAAATGCCTTGCTTATTGGGAACAGAGTCATCTGGGTGGTCTGGAGGAGCAGGTGCAGGTATGTAGGGAGCTGCACCCTGTCCTGCAGCCGGCTGCCTTTTTCCTTATACTGACTGGCTGTGAAAACTACTGTCTTTGAAATATGCTAGCCTTACTGGGATGTATCATGATGTATCTGCCCAAGAGATGGTCTGCCTTATTTAGAGTGTAAAGGTTTCCTTTTCACTTTAGTTTTGGGACAGGACTCACTAAGTCACTAAGTGATCAGGGTAGACTCGTACTTGAGATCCTCCTGTATTCATTCCATTTCCTTGGTCTTCTGCCTTAGGGAATGGATGGTCTGTGCAGCATGCAGATGAGATGTCCTTTATGCTACTCTCTCACAATATCTGCAAGTTTTATTTATTGCAGCTTCTTTTCTCACTTTTCTCATTTTTCTGAATATAATTTCAGCAGTGCCTATTGTTGGGCACCTTATAATTTGTTTTTGTTTTTAACCGTGGATCTACATGATGGCATACACATTCAGGATAAGCGATACATTGAGAAAAGTCCTGAGAAAGCCCTAAGATCCCACCTCTGGTAAGCAGCAAAACTATAGGTGACATCTTATAAATAGAAATTTGAAAGAATCCACAAAAAACCTAGTAGAGGTAATCAATTCAGTAAAGTTGAAGGATAAACAATTATTTTTGTAAACCTAAAAATTCATCCAAAATGTATATTAAGAAAACAATTATACTTAGAACAATATCAAAAAGAACAAAATGCTTAAGAGTAGAATTAACGAAGGAAGCCCAAACCTTATATACTGAAAACTACAAAACTTTGTTGAAAGAAGTTAAAGAAGACCTAAATAAGTGGGAAGAACTTCCTTGTTAATGAATACTTATATGGTTAAGAAGACAATACTTCCCAAAAGGTTCTATGAAAATCCATTACCCCTTCACTATAAGTTCTAGGCAAGTCTAGACTACACAGTGAGACTGTCTCAAAAAGAAAACAAGAAAAAATCCAGTATCCTTTTGGACAAAAGTGGACAACATGACTTTCAGATGCATGTGGAATTACAAGAGATCCTGAAAATTCAAAATAGTTGGGATGAACATATCAGAGGAGTCATACTTCCTGACTTCAAAATTTGCTCTACAGCCAAGCATGGTGGCAAATGCCGTAATCCCAATACTCAGGAGGCTGAGGCACAAGGACTGCCACAAGCTTGAGGCTAGCCTAGACTACAGAATAAGCTCAATGCCTGAACTACATAGTGAGACTCTGTCTCAAAACAAAACAAAAAACTTACTACAAAGCTGTAATGATCAAAACAGTATGGAACTATGGAACTGGCATGAAAATAGACATTTAGATCAATTAACCAGAACTGAGTTCAGAAACAAACCTATACATATATGGTCAAATGATTCTCATTGACAGTGTCAAGACCAGTGGAAAAACAGTCTCTTAAAATTGGTTTTGAGACAACCGGATACCCATATATGAACAAGTAAGTTAGCTTGCTGCCTTACATTAAACTCAAAAATTAATTTAAAATAGATGAAAGGCCTAAATGTAAAAGCAAAAACTATAAAACCCTTTGAATAAAACACAAAGTAAACCTTCACAACCTTTGATTGTCAATAGATTCTTAGATATGACATTAAAAGCAAAAACAATAAAGGAAAATATAGACAAATGACATATAATCAAAATTAAAACCTTCTGTGAATAAAAATACTACTATCAAGCTGGGCATGGTGGGACATGTCTATAACCCAGCACTCAGTAGGCTGAGACAGGCAGATCACTGGCAATTTGAGGCTAGCCTGGGCTATACAGTGAGTTCAAGACCAGCCTAAGATACACAGTGAGACACTGCCTCAAACAAAACAAAACAAAACAAAAAGATGCTATCAACAAACTGAAGAGACAACTCACACAATGAGAAGTATTTGACAATCATATATCTGACAAGGGTCTAGCACACAGAAAGTACTCTCATAATAAAAAAACCCAGGTAAAAACAGACAAGGGACTTGAATATATACTTCTGCAGAAAAACATATACAAATGGCCAAAAGTATACGAGAAGATGTTCAGTGTCATTAGGGACAAACAAAACCACAATGAGATACAAGTTCACATACTAAAATGGCTATAGTTTTAAAATGATAACAAGCATTGTCTAGGATGTAGAGAAATTTGAACACTTACACACTGTTTGTAGAAATACAAAATTGAGCACTGTAATGAAAAATAGTTTGGCAGTACTTTAAATAAGTTAAAGACAATAAATATATACACAGCAATTCTATTTCTAGGTATATCAAAAAGAATTAAAAATAGATGTTCAAACAAATAGTTACACTATATACAAATATTTGCTGAAATTCTCTTCACAATAGCCATAAAGTATAAACAGCCTAAAAGTCAATCATGAATAAATAAAATAAGATACATTCATATAATGAAGTATTATTCAGCCATAAAAAAGAAAGGTACAAACTACTACACAGATAAATCCTGAAAACATTATACAACATGAAAGAAGTCAGACACCCAAAGTGCACAAATTGTATGATTATATTTATATAAAATATCCAGAATTTGAAAAAGTCTGTTGAGACTGAATGTAGATTAGTGTTTGCCAGGGGTTAGGGGCTAATGGAAAGTAACTTTAAAGGATATGAGATTTTGTTTCAGGGTGATGACAATGCTCTGGAACTAGGGATTATGCACAACACTGTGAATATACTAAATGCCACTGGTTAATACACTTTACATTAATTTTGTGTTGCATGTGTTTTGCCACAATTAATAATATATCTTCATTGACTTTTACAGGTCAAATTCCAGCCAGTGATGGGGAAGAATTCACTCTGCATGAAACATAAGTTGAAATTTGATTAAGTATATCAACATTTGCCAGAAAATAATCTCTTAACATTCTACACACTGAATAACACTAAAATTCTTGGAAAGTTATTTTAGGGACATTCAGTCAATTTATTCTGTACGTGTTCCAAGTTTTATTTAGAAAAAGCAAAAGAGAAGAGCATCAGAAAGCCATCTATATAGGCTCTGGTAATACGGTTCCCAATAAAAACTTCATTAACTGAAAAATGTGTGGTATCTGACTTTTTCCTTCTTGTTTTTTTTTTTTTTTGTTTGTTTCTTTTTTTTTTTGGGTCTTTTGGAGACAGCGTCTCACTATGCAGTTTAGGCTGGCCTTGAATTCACTTTGTAGCCCAGGCTGGCCTCGAACTCCCAGTGCTCCTCCTGCCCCAGTAGCTCCCCCACCTCTAGGGATTACAGGCCTGAGCCACCACGCCCAGCTTGACTTTTGCTTTTACTGAAGAACAAATAGGATAGTACAGGAATTTATTTCATGGCTGGCACTAGAAGGTTGTTTGCTCATTACTAATTTAAAAAGCAACAAAAGGTTTTTATTTTTAGCTTTTAATGTTGGAAAGTCTTGATGTACCAAAAGAAATCAGGTAGCTTCACTGTTATGATCAATGAAAACCACGTAACACATAACCTTATTTTCCATGGCTCAGAAATATTTGCAACCCAAATTTGGTAACTTTGCCCTATTGATCTACTATTCCAATGCTATCGGCTGGTACACCTCAACATCAGCATCACCTGCAATCTTAAAATGTAAATTTCAGGTCTTATTTTGTGTTTCAACATCTTTCCAGGTAATTCTATGTACATTAAAGTTTTGAAATCATTGTGTTTTTAAACCATTGTGGTATACTGTTTCCTTCCTCATAAAATCCAGTGTAAAACAAAGTGAAGAATGACTTCAACAACTCACATGGGATTTGTCCATTTTCTGCTGATCTTTGAAACATGTAGAAACCTATGAAAGAGTATCTGGGTAGAAAAAAAAGGAATGAAGTCACTAGAGATACGAACTGCCTTGCAACTCCTGGATTCACCTACATAAAAAGGTACAAACAAACATCACCCACTATGTCAGTGAGGTTTGCATGACTGTGACAAAATATCTGAGGGAAGTCAGAGGGAAAGATTTGTTTTTGGCTGTTTCAGAGATTTCCCTCCATGGTTACATGGCCCTCTGGCATTGGGCCTGAAGTAAAAAGTCCTGGGAGGAAGTACACAGTAGAGCAAAGCTGCTCCTCTTGGTGGCAAGGAAGGGAAGAAAGGGAAAGGGGTAGGAGAGAAAATACACCCTTCAAGGGTATACCCCCAATGACCTACTTACTGCTATCAGGTCATACCTCCTAATGTTTCCACCAACTCCTGATAGCCCATTAAGTTATGAATCCATCAATGAATTAAACCACTGATGAGGTCAGAGTTCTTGTGATACAATTTTCTCCCAACATTGAACAGTGCCGCACTGGGACCAAACCTTTAACAGAAGAGCTTTTGGGGACATTTTAGACCTAAATCTTAACACCTTGGAAAAATGTCTCTCTGTGCAACAACATCATTTACCCTGTAGAGGCGTAGGAAGGGACACAAAGAAGCTCTCATATGTCCACCTGTGACTATGACAGGCATGTGGAACGTGGATGTGCAAAAGATTTTTACCAGGTGAATATACTTGTTTTCTGTTCATTTTTAAAATAAAGTATCACTTCGTATTCTCGAAGAAAATTTAAAAGTGAGAAAACAGGTGAAATAAATTACAACATACTAAATGAAGTAACACTAAGTCTTCACCAAAAGTTGCTCCACACACTCATTTCTTGTGGTTTTACCCTTTGAGTTACAGAACTCATACAAAAGCTATGAAAAACAGAGATGGAGGTGCTTCAATGTAAGTCATTTTAAAAACTGTTTTTCTATAGTACCTGTATATTCAGTGTTTGAAAACTAGAGCCTGCGAAAATGTAAACTTTGCTCCTTTCTGGATACTGCCTCTGCTTGGACACTCCTTCCGAAATAGAGTAGTTCTCTTCCATGGAGGATCTTGTTTCTGGCGATGTCTCTTTTTATAAGAGGTGAACTCAGATCCAAGGAAAACGAGAAAAATGCCTAAAAATGCACAACTCCATTATAACTGGAATCTTCTCCAAGGTCACACTGAAAATGTTCCACTCCAGGATCTATAAATTCATTTCTTTTTCCCTTGGGTCTTTTTGAGACAGGGTCTCACTATGCAATTCAGGCTGGCCTTGAGCTCACTTTATAGCTCAGGCTGGCCTCGAACTCACAATGATCCTCCTGCCTCAGCCTCCCGAGTGCTGGGATTACAGGCATGCACCACCACACTCGGCTTTTTTTTTTTTTTTTTTTCGGTTTTTTTTTTGGTACCAGGAATCCAACTCAGGACCTTGTGCTTGCCAGGCAAGCGCTGGTGCAGTTGAGCTATATCCTTGGCCCCCAGGTTCCATAAATTCAAATCAAGGCTGCTGAGAAGTATGGACTGTTCAGATCTGCTTCAAAATAATTACGCTGTCTGCCTCAAGGGCGCTGAAGATATCGGGAAATCCAAGAAACATTGCAAGATTCAATCCTGCAAATCATTTCTTCACACTGAAAATTACTTCTGCCAAGTATGCTGGAGGCTCGGTGCCGAATGGTAAACTGGAAAGGCTAGCCATTTAGAGGAAGGACGCCAGAACTATCTTTTGGTTTGTCTGCCGACCAGCTTCTGACTTTGATCCCCACGGGCCAGGCTGTGTGCACGATCTGGAAGCAGCAGAAGTGTTTGGGCGCCAGAAGCAGCCTTCAGCGCCAGGCACGTTCATTACGGATGCCAGGGCGATCCCAAGAGGCAGGTGTTTCATGCTGGCTTTGGACGCGGAGCTCATATTCTCTCGGGTCGCTTCCTCTGCCGCGGCTCCCGAACAGCCTGCCTGGGCTCTTTTCAGCGGCCGACCCCAAGCCCAGAGACAACCGCTGCATCCACAGCGCAGCACGGAGACATCAGCCACCTACCTTGCCAGTCTTCCGCCACCATCTCCGCTGGCCACACTTCCGCGATGTGCGCAATGACCGCTCCCAGCGTGCCCCGCGTCGCCCGTGTTCTCTCACACCGCAATCCGCGTGAGCCGCGCGTGCACGGCAGAGGTCGCGCGTGCGCAGCAGAGACCCCCGCGCTTGCGCGTAAGAGGCCCCGCGCAAGCCGGGCTTGCGCGACAGGAGTCGCGGCCCATGGTGAAGCAGCTTCCGCGGGCTGGCGATTGAACGAACGTTCCTTGTGTGGTGCAGCTTAGAGTGGATGCTGCCAACTTGGCTGCCGCTGACACCCCAGCTGTACTTCTTGGTACCCAGGAAGGTGGGATTTGTCTACAGCCAGCATATCAATTACCCGAGGGAGCAAAGATGTAAGTCATGGTAAGTTATGAACGTATACGAGATTCGCGCGTGTGCACACACACTCCAATATGAATGAAAAGGTTACACACTAGGAAATTAAATGTATTAACATACTAGTAACAGTGCTATTTTAAAAAGTGAACAGTAGCGTTACTCTCAGCAGTGAAATAGATAAGCAAATAGTCTCTTAAAAATAAGTCCTAAGCAAGAAAACTTATTCAAGAAATCTATTGCAATAGGAATAATGCTGAATTCAGAATTTACAAGCATCTTAAAATCAAATTGAGGATTTTCCTTTGTAAGGAAGAATAAAATAAAACTTTTGGGAGGAACTGCAAAGCAAGGACGGAGGTGAGCAAGCAGCCTAGTGGGATTAGTCTGACAGGAAATGTGTCTCCCCAAAGGCAGCCTTTCTGCACGAGTAGGCTTACTCAGACCTAGAGAAAGGCCAAGATTCAAAGGCCAGTGGCAAGGATAGAAGCCTAACTAATGTTCTGCCAAGCTAAGACTGTGGGTAGATAATGGGCAATCATGAACACTTGACCACAAATCAAAAAGAGTATGCAAATTTTAGGTAAAATACAAATGAACAAAATTAACACAATTATATATTCTGACTTCCTACAGGCAACCCAGATTAAGTGCTGTGGACAACTTCTCTGGTGTCTTTACAAAAATAGTATCATTAGACCCAAAAAACAAGATCACAATAGTTTGTAACTTTTTGCACCAAACAATACTTAGTAGACGTTATCTCTTAGTAATTTTTTTTATAACATCAATTTTCTTATATGCCAGTGATAGTACTACAGAAAATAGAACTTCATGTAGGACAGCAACCAAACACAAAAAACACTTGTACCTCGGTTCATGAACTTAGCTCTTTCCATGATTCTGGTCTCAATCTGAATTTGGTGAGAACCAAATCAAATTCAGCGGTTAGGTTCAGTGGTGACTTTATGGGGAAACTTGATTTGGTTCTTTCTCATCCAGTTCAGTTGGTGGCCAGAATCATGGAAAGAATTAAATTCATGAACTGAGGTGTCATTGTACTAGCATCAGGTTACGTATATAAGAAATTAGGAATAGCTATGTGAAGAAAATTACAGTATGTCATTATTTGGTATTAAAAGGACTTGAGTACCAATTCATCAAGATTGGTGGGAGTACAGCATTAAGGGAATGGGTGGACTAAGGACTTCAATAATCAGTCCTTCCATTAAATCAGCCATTAAGATGGCAAAAACTAACAACTTTTTTGGAACTGTGAAATCTAATAAGAAAACATAGGAGAATACTTAAGAATGTTGGTAAGCTTTGAGAATTTGTATTTGCCAGTGTCCCATCCCCACTCTCAGTTGTGGAGACTATGATGACAACAGCCTGCTTTGCTGGTGCAGCTAGTAGGTGCCCGCAGGAAAACAGACTTTGCTTTTTAAAACTGCAATTTAGTATGTTGGCTTGTCTGAAGGTTCCTTGAGAGACCAGAACAAAAGTTTGTCCTTCTTTTGCCCTTTTGGGCTCCAGTGGCTTTCCAGAAGGAGTCTGTCCAAAGCATTTAAGGTGACACTCCCGATAGCTGGTGTGTGTTAACCAGCAGACAGCTCCAAATATCTGGAGAGGATAAGGCTAGGAGGAAGGTTCTTGAAAGAAAAAAGATTTGAAGAGATACTGAGTAAACTGGAGCATCTACAGTACAATATGCATGCTTTTAGCAAGATGCATGCCCACAACCTGAGAGACACTAGGTTTACCCGTCTGGCTACTCTTTGGACTTTGCACAAACAAAAGGGTAAGGATAAGGGTAAGGGTAAAGATGAAACTTACAGGAAGCCTAGATAAGTGTGGAAAGACTATCCTATTATAGAGGCATTCTGTAGAGACTTGAATATTTTTTTTTCTGGTTTCAGGAGTTTAAGGAAGTTTATACAGTAATATCTCAGTTAATGAACGCTTCTGTTTGCAAACAATTCAGTTCGTGAACAGAAGCATTGGACAAAATTTTGCTTCCATTTATGAACTCCACATCAGGTGACAAATACCACTGTGGCGATCTTCCCCAAATGAATATAAATTCAGCCACTTTGCTGCTCTGACACATGGTCATGGCTTCCTGGAGTCAAGATCAAGGTCAAAGACAGACCTGTGCACACTTGCTGTGAATCTTTTGTGTGCTTTTCAGCACATACAGTACTATACAGTATTATTCAATCCAGTATGGCTCCAGAGAAAGTTCAGAGCAAGTATGGTGGTAAAAAGAAAGTGCAGAGCAGTAATGAAAATGACAAGAATGTGCAGAGCCAGAACAGTAAGAAGAAGGTTCTGGAGAAAATAACCATTTGAATTGAAGAAGAAAATTGTAGAGAAGCATGAGTGTGGTATCTGTGTGACTGATCTGGCCTCTGAGTACAAAATGGCAAAGTCAACAATCTCAACTATTTTGAAGAATAAGGGTGCCATCAAAAGAGTTGATGTGGCAAAAGGAGTAACGACATTAACCAAGCAGAGGTCACAAGTGCTGGAAGAGGTGGAAAAACTGTTGTTAGTATGGTTGAATGAGAAACAGCTGGCAGGTGACAGTGTTAGTGAAGCTATGATCTGTGAAAAAGCCAGGAAATTGCACAGTGATTTAGTGGAAGAAAACCCTTCTACAAATGCAACAGCTGATACATTTAAAGCCAGTAGAGGGTGGTTTGATAAAATTCCGCAAGAGAAGTGGCATCCACAGTGTGATAAGACATGGTAAGGATTCTAGTTCTGACAGAGCTGCTGCAGAAGCCTATAAAAAAGAATTCACAGAATTCATGAATCAGGCAGAAGGATATCTCATTCAACAAGTGTTCAATTGTGATGAAACAGGGCTCTTCTGGAAGAAGATGCCAAATAGAACCTATATCATGAAGAAGGAAAAGGCACTGCCAGGGTGGAGTGAGCAGCAGAAGGTGATTGTTGAAGAATATTCCTCTGAGAAAGAGGAAGAGAGGGAAGAGGTTAGCAGTGATGTGATAAAATCCATCATGGACAAGTGGAATGAGTGCCAGGATTTCTTTGAGAAGCACCACCCCAATGTAAATTTAACAAACAAAGTGTTGAATCTGATGAACAATTATGTGGTCTCTCATTTCTGGAGGGTTATGCAGCACAGAAAAAAACAAATGCCATTAGGCAGATTTTTCATCCAAATGGACTTGGTAGCTAAGAGACAAAGAAGAGAGGAAACCCCTGAAGGAGATCTCCCCAGTGGCCTTCTGGAAGGGTACTCTCCCTCCAGACAGTAACCCCCACACGCACACACCTTCCTGTCTTCCACCCCAGAAATCTTCTCAAGCAAGGTTGGTGTTCCCTGTCTTTATACTGTACTGTACTTTGTTTCATATTTTTGTGGTTAAAAAAATACATATGGTTCAGAACAGATTAACCTTATTTACATTGAACCTTATGGAAAATTTGATTCGGTTCCTGACCAAAATTGGTTTGTGACATTTTTAGGGGTCCAAACAGATTAACTTTATTTAATTGAATCTTGGGGAAATTTTATTTGGTTTGTGATCAATTTGGTTCATAACCAGAATCATAGAATGAATTAAGTTCATAAACTGAGGCGCCACTGTATCTACTGAAGAAAAGAAAATGAAAGTTCAGTGACAACACACAACAAAGAATACAGTAAATCTCTGACTTTTGTTCAAGGAGAATTTTTTGTAAATTGGATTCATTTGTAAGCCAACAGTGAGTCTTATACAATACACCTGTGAAAGTTCTCAACTTGAATGTTCATAAGTCAGGGACTTGCTGTATAATCTTTGTAAGCTACAATGAGTGTCCAGCTTACAAACAAGTTCTGTTACAGGAGAATTGTTTGAAATCAAGATTCGTCTGTATGTCCAAAAGTGAGTCATATACAGTACAGCTGTGAAAGTTCATAATGCATACGTTCCTAAGTTGAGAACTTACTGTAGTTTGAAAAAGTACTTAGCCAGATTGGTACCTGCTGACCTCAACAAGAAACAGCAAACACTAGATAAGTGGGAGAATCTGATTCTCAAGGCTATCACATTGTAGTATTATACCCAGTATCAACAAAAATTGAATGACATATAAAAAACAGAAATACATGGCCCACTCAAAAGAATGATAGAATGTACCTCTGACAAACATACTGGATTTATTAAATGAAGATACTGAATTGACTAACTTATATGTGTTTAAGAGTTGAAGGCAACCAGAAAGAAAAAAATGAGAACAAACCAAGAGAATGATATACTGATACGATCAAATAGATGATATCAATAAAGAGAAATTATTAAAGAGGAGCTATAAGTACATTCTGGAGCTGAAAAGTATAACAGCTTGTTATGGTTTAGATGGTAAATGTGTCCCAAACCCCATGTGTTAAAGGCTTGATCATCAGCATGGGGCACTTTTAGAAAGTTCACTTAAAAAACCATGTTTCAGGGACCTTTTGAAATGACAGTAACTACAAAGCTTATACTATACTCCCTGAAGAAGAGAATAGAACTGAAAAATATTTCAAGAAATAATGGCTGAAGATTCCTCAAATTGAGCAAAAATGAAAACAGAAAACAAAATCCTGAAAGTGTAAACATACATATTCAAGAAACCAGGGAAATAAACCCAAAGGAGTCCACAGTGAGGCATATCTGTTAAACTTCTGAAGACTAAAGGGAAAAAGTCTTGAAGGCAGAGAGAGAAGACACACAGGGCAATATAAATAAGAAGATTAGGTAATTTCTGATCTGATACAGTGGCAGCCAGAAGGAGGTGTACACATTTCATAAGGAAACACAGATGAAGAATAACCAGTAGAATTTATTACTAGCAAACATGATTTTAAAGAATAACCAAAGAAAAGTTAATGAGAAATATAAAGAAATGATGACAGAAGTCTTCAGAAAAGACAGAACATCAGAATGGATTAAAGGAGGAGTAAATGCCAGGAGTGGTGGTGCACACATGTCATCCCAACACTTGGGAGGCTGAGGCAGGAGGATCACCATGAGTTTCAGGCCAATCTGGGCTACATAGTGAGTTCAAGGCCAGCCCGCACTACAAAGTAAGACCGTGTCTCAAGGAAAAAAAAAAAAAATAAAAGATAATAAAAATAAAATGAAAGTAAAATTTTTTCAAAGGAGTAAATGACTATCCTAATGAATTTATTAGATTAAAAATTATAAAAATAACATTTGTGTCCTTATTGATAATTACTTTAAATGTAAATGGTCTAAACACAGCAATTAAAAGATAAAAGATTGGTAGAATGGATTAGTGGGTGGGGTTGCACTGGGAATGGAACCCAAGGTCTTCACACTGAGCTACATCCCCAGCTCTTTTTAACTTTTTAGAGTGGATTTTTAACCACTTAACAGTTTATCCTGAGCATCACTTGGACAGTGCATTTGTTTATACACTGACTACCCAAGGGTCACTTGGTTGGGTGTTATTTCAGCCAGTTGACTGGTGTTTGCATGAGATGCACTCATATGTGTCATTTATATATTTTCATTATAAATTTTTTTTTTGATACCAAGAATCGAACTCACAACCTCATGCTTGCTGGGCAGGTGCTGTGTCACTGAGCTACATCCTTGGCCTTCTTTATAAATTGACCAAAAAATTACAATTTTTGGTCACCCTGTATTTAAATAATTTGACTTGTAAGTAATTTAAATGGTCCAACTCTGCTGTCTATAAGAAGCTTACTTTAAATCAACAAGGTAGGCACAACTGTGTACCCCTGTGGTCCCAGTAACTCTGGAAACTGACAAGAGAATTGCTTAAGGCCATCTGGACAACAGAAAACAAGCTAACCAGTTATGGGTTGCATCAAGAATATCACCCAGAGTGTAAAGGAGTACAACCACCGTGGAAATCACTATAAAATTCCTCAGAGAACTAATATTAATAATTACATGTGACCTAGCTGTTTCCCTTATAGATATCTTCCCCAAAGAGCTAAAGACATCATTCTATAGCCATACATGTATACCAATGTTTATAGCAGCACAACTCATAATAGCTAAATCCTGTAAGCAACCTGTATACCCATCAACAGATGGTTGGATAAGGAAAATATGGTATCTAATGGAATACTACTTGGCTACAAAGAAGGACAAATTGGAGACATTGTAAGAAAATGGATGCACCTGGAAAATACAGTATTGAGTGAAATAAGTCAGACACACAAGCTTAAATGCCATATAGTATTTCTCATTTGAGGGAAGCAAAGTACAGACAGCACAATAAAGGATTGGAGGAGACAAGAAGATAGATCTCTTGCAGATGGGAAGGGATCCAAGAGAATATGAGTGAGAAGAGAGGGGGAAGGAAAGGGGAAATAAATAGAATAAAGACAGGCCATGTAAGAAACCTAATAACCTCAATAAATGTAAACTTTGTGTCATAAACACAAACTAAGATTAATATCAGCAAGAATGAAAGTGGTAAAAGGGGATTTAGAAGAGGAGGAAAAGAAGGGGAAGGAGATTTTTAAAAAAGAAACAAGCTGTATTATGTAATGTACCCACTCGCCAAAATGATTTTAAACTGCACATACTGTAAACATGTATTAAAAAAGCAGGAGTGTCCCTTAAGGGCCTCATGTGCTCAGAGACAGGGCTTACTCAGCAGTATAGCTAACTTGCTATTAGGCAGTGGAGTCTGATCAGAAGAAGATTCTTGGGTGCACGACCTGGAAGGGTAGATCTCCTTCCCATGTTTATCACTTTTTTGTTCTCTGGCTGCCATGATGTGAGCAGCTTTCCTCCACATTCCCTTGTGGTATGCCCTTCCTGCCTTGGAACCAGCTGATCATGGACTGTGAGTGTGAGCCCAAATAAATCTCTCTTATAAGTTGTGAATGTCAGATATTGGGTCTCAGGGATACAGAAAGTGACTGGGACACAACTCCCCCCACCAAAAAAAAAAAAAGTTTAAAATTAAATGAATGGAAAGTTACATGCAATACGAATATTAAAGCTACCTTAATAAATAGGTTTCATAAATAAATAGATAGATTTCAGAGCATTACTAGAAAGAAAGGAAGATATTGCTTGATAAAAGGATCGTTCCACCACCAACAAGATGACATAACCCTAAATATGTACACATCAGACAGCAGGCCTTCAAAATATATGAAGTAAATATTGGATGGTAATAAAAGGTGAAATAGACAATAATTATAATTGGGAACATCCATACCCAACTCATAACAACAGACAAAACCTCTGAACAATAAAGGATGGAGAACAGATAACACAGTCACCCAAGAGGATCTCATTGAGATTTTAGAACACTTCATACCAAACCAACAGAATACATTTTTAAAGTACCAAGGGAAAATATACTGCACGTGTCTATACACTGGGTCATAAAATAAGCCTCATTAAGTTTAAAATGGTAGAAATTGTTTGGATTATTTTCTCTGATCATAATGGAATAAAACGTGAAACCAGTACAGTGGTACCTTGGTTCACAAACACAATTTGTTCCATTATTCTGGTCATGAACTGCATTACATTTCCTTGTAAGCCTCATTGTAATACCTCAGTTCACAATGCTTCTGTTCATGAACAATTCAGTTCCCTAGCAAAATTGTGGAACAAATTAAGTTTGTGAACCAAGGTACCACTCTAATATAAAAAACAACAGGAAATCTTGAAAGAACATATCTCTAACCTGTGAATAAAAGGTAGTTTCAAAGGAAAATTTTTTTGAAACAGGAACTTGCTATGTACTTCAGGCTGGCTTTGAGCTCACTATGTAGCTCAGGCTGGCTTCTAACATGGGGCAATCCTCCTGCCTCAGCCTCTTGCACACTGGGAGTGGAGGCATGCTTCACCACTCCCAGCTCAAAGAAAAATCTAAAGTACATAGAATAATGGAAAATATCAGTGTAGCATGTCAAAATCTGAGATGTAGCTAAAAGGGTATTGAAAAGAAATTTATAGATCTAAGTGCTGATATTAGAAACAAAGAAAAGGTCTGAAATCAGTTCTCTAAGTTACTACCCCAAGAAACTTAAGCAAAGTAAAACAAAATATACTCTAGAGTAACTAGACAAAGAAAATACTAAACTTCTGCTATGGTTCCAGTAAGACTTGTTCTTACCAAAACTTTATGTTGTTATAGTCTTAAGGTAACTGTGTTGAGAGATGGTGAGGCCTTTAAGAGGTTCTCAGGGTCTGTCCTTATTAATGTATTGTATTTCTCACAGAAATTGATTTCTTTTAAGGGTAGATTGTTACAAAGTGGGTCAAACTCTTTGCCTGTTTTTTATTCTTTTCTGCATGTACCTACTTCCCTTTCTGCTTCTCCATGCATGTAACAGAATACGACCCTCACCAAAAACTGAACAGACATTGGGGTAGAACCATAAGCCAAAATAAACCTCTTTTTCTTTACAATTACTCTCATGTTCTGTTACAGGAATAGAAAATGGACTTAGACAAGATCAAAAGCAAAAATCAGTGAAATTGAAAACGAAAAATAATGGAGCAAATCCATGAAACAAAAATTTGGTTCCTCAAAAATGAAAAAGTTTTTGGCTTCCACTCTTGACTCATGTGGTTGATGCAGGCTGCCAAGATGAAAGCTATCCAGACTATAGAGGATCTTCTGGCTTTAAGCCAGCAGGAAGAACTTGTGGATTTACCAAACAACTACCCCTTGAGTGCTAGTGAAGATGAGGGGGACAGTGATGAAGAGAGAAAGCATCAAAAGCTTCTGCAAGCAATCAGTTCTCTTGATAAAAAGAATAGATGGAAATTGGCTGAGAGATCTGAAGCTAGCTTGACAGTATCAGAATTCAATGTGAGTTCTGAAGGATCAGGAGAAAGGCTGGGACTTTCAGATCTTCTTGAGCCTGTTAAAGCTTCATCTTCATTCGCTGTTATGAAAAAGCAACTGAATAAAGTTAAATCCAAGAAGACTGTGGAATTACCCCTTAACAAAGAAGAAGTTAAACAGATCCACAGAGAAATAGCATTCAATAAAACATCACAAACCCTCTCCAAATGGGATCCTATTGTTCTCAAGAACCGGCAAGCAGAGCAGCTGGTATTTCCCCTGGAGAAGGGGCAGTCAGGCTTTATTCCCACTGAACTTGTCTTCAGTGGTTGGAAAGCAAGGACTCCCTTGGAGCAAGAAGTTTTTAACCTCCTCCATAAAAACAAGCAGCCGGTGACAGACTGTTTATTGGCTCCCATGGAAAAGGCCTCTCTCAAAGCTATGAGCCTGGAAGAGGCTAAGATGCACCGAGCAGAGCTTCAAAGGGCCCGGGCTTTGCAGTCTTACTATGAAGCCAGGGCAAAAAGAGAGAAGAAGATCAAAAGTAAGCAGTTTCATAGACATGTAAAGAAAGAAAAGGCCAAGAAAACCCTAAAAGACTTTGATCAGCTGTGGAAGGTGAATCCTACTGCTGCAATGGATGAGCTGGAAAAAATTGAAAAGGCCAGAATGATAGAGCGAATGAGCCTTAAGCACCAGAACAGTGGGAGATGGGCGAAGTCAAAGACAATTATGGCCAAATACGACTTGGAGGCTCGCCAAGCTGTGCAAGAACAATTGGCTAAGAACAAAGAACTAACACAGAAACTCCAGGTAATCTCAGAGAGTGAGGAAGAGAAGAGGGGTGTGGGAGAGGAAGAACCCCTTATCCCTGATGTAGTGAATGAAGTACAGATGTGTGCAGATGGACCAAATCCTTGGATGCTTAGGAACTGTAACAGTAATGGAAAAGAGGGTGAAATCCAGGCAGACCCTGACCAACTACCTGAGCCTGTTGTCCAGAAGTTTTCTAAAAGCAAGGAAGATAAAAAACCATCAGCAGAGGAAGAAATTTTGTTGCAAGAATTTGGGGAAAGACGATGCCTGCGAAAAAATTTTTGCCTCAACCAGGATACTGATCCAGTGGGCAGCCAAGAAACAAAAGATTCTAGCAGCCAGGACATATTAGCCAAATTGAGGACTTTGAATCAGAAACTCAAGGAAAACCATCACTCCAGCAAGCAAACAGTGAATCGAGCAGGGACTGTTCTCCAGGTCCAGAAAGAGGAATGTGTCCTAGAAGAAGAGGAGTCTCTGTTGTGTCAGAGGGCAGAGAGAGTACAAATTCTGGTAGAACTAGATGAGGGCAAAGAAGAGCATTTTCAAAATGAGGAGCTTCCCAGACCTTTGTTAAAATGGGAGCAAATGAAGAGAAACCCAAATAACCAGACTGATGTCCCTAAGGAAAAGAAAAAGGAGCAAGTGATTGATCTCCAGAACCTTCTAACAAAATCTCCTTTCATGAAATCTTTGGCTATTCCCACAGCAGTAGAGGAATTGGAAGATGAAGAGGAGAGAAACCTAAAGCAGATGATAAAGGAAGCTTTTGCTGGAGATGATGTCATCAGAGATTTCTTGAAAGAGAAGAGAGAAGCTGTGGAGACAAATAAGCCAAAGGATGTTGACCTGATGCTGCCTGGCTGGGGCAAATGGGGTGGTGTAGGCCTGAGGCCCAGTGCCAAGAAAAGACGCCGGTTTCTCATTAAAGCCCCTGAAGGGCCTCCAAGAAAAGACAAGAATTTGCCAAATGTAATTATCAGTGAGAAGCGCAACATCCACGCAACAGCTCATCAAGTACAGGTGCTTCCATATCCATTCACTCACCATCAACAATTTGAAAGGACCATCCAGACCCCTGTAGGGTCTTTGTGGAACACCCAGAGGGCCTTCCAAAAGCTCACCACCCCCAAGGTAGTCACCAAGCCAGGTCATATCATTAAGCCCATAAAAGCAGAGGATGTGGGCTGCCACCCTTCCTCAAAGTTGGGCCTCTCTGTCATGCAGAGCACTACAGCACAACCCACCAGAAATAAAAAACAGCTAAAGAAAAACTCTGGAGATTGAGTTGCCAGAGGACTGACATCTTGGTGCCCATGGTTGGTATCCCTGACTGCTCATACTTTGATTGCTTGCTGTTGCAGGATCAATTCCAAAACCAGCTTTACACATTTTGGGTGTGATGAAGGCACATTTTAGAAATAAAATCTTTTTAAAAGTCTTAAAAAACAGTAAAACTGCTAAATCTTTAGCACAACTAAGATAAAAATTGAAAATATACCAATCAGTGTGGTTTAATAAATGGGAAATAGCTCTACAGATCCTTAGCAATTTATTTTTGTTTTGTTTTTCATTCCCCTCCCCACTTTTTTGGGAGGGGAGAGGTTTTGAGACAGAGTCTTACTATGTAGTTCAAGCTGGCCTTGAACTCACTGTGTAGTCCAGGCTGGCCTTAAATTTGCATCTACCTATCCTTCTGCCTCTTCCTCCAGAATGCTGAGATCACAGGTGTGGCCCATAACACCCAACACTTATTTTTTCCCCCTTTAGCCATTGATTCCAGGTATGCAAGGCTGGTTTAACATTAAAAATATATCTGTAAAACAAAAACCTCTCAGTGTAATCCGCCATGTCAGTAGGCTAAAGAAGAAGCATGTCGCCATAAATATGGATACAGAAAAATTATTTGATTAAGTTCTTACCTATTTGTGATAACTCAGCAAACAAGGAATAGAAAGCAAACTTCCTCAATTTGATTACACAAAAATCATACAGCTATCATCATATTTAATGTTGAAAGATTAAATGCTATCCCCTTAAAATCAGGAATAAGGCAAAATGGTTATGTACAACTCTTATTCAACAATACTGGAAATTTTGGTCAGTGTAGCAAGGCACCCCAAAAAATAATTGAAATTATACAAATTAGAAAGAAAACTCTTTAACTGGTTACAGGTGACATTGTACATAGAATAAGCAAATACAAAAAAAATTAGGACACAACAATATATTCCTCACATTCCAACAAGGAATATATGAACACAAATTCACAATCTCCTTTTCACAAAATGTTAATGGAAAAAAATCAAAGGAGACCTAAATAAAAGAGGTGTACAGTGTTCACTGATTAGAAATCTCAACACAGGAAAAGTGCTTGCTGACTGAATACAAAGAAGTAGTGCTAAGACAGGCAGCTTGTTATTTTTGTCTTCTGTGAGATGAGGAAGATTTAAGGGGTCCTTGCAGCTGGTAGAAGGATTTGGGTGGACCAAGCATCTTTGGCACTGTTCAGCCATAAAAGTAAATGTGTCTCAGTGGTATAGAAATACTCTCCCCACTTGTAACTGATACCTCATTATCCATGTACCCCTCCCCACAAAGCAGCTGCTTTAAGTTGTGACTCAGGTCTCCCCATCATTAAGGAGCTAGAATGCCCTACACATGTCTGAATATTCTGGGGGATTTGGAGGGAAGGAAGGGTCTTAAACTTTTATACCTCTAGTGGATACAGGCACCCAAGTGACAATAACTTGTCCCTCAGAGACAAGCTACACTGGATATAGTGGTAGTAAAAAGTGCCAGGGTTTTTAGGGCAGAGCTGCAATCTGCAGAGGGATGTAAAGAAAAAGCCATGGAGCCCAGCATTTCCCTATGGTGGGAGGTGCACAGGCAAAGACATGGGCCTTAAGGACCCAAAGGGAATAAACTCCCATGTTCTTTGACCAACTTCTAACACCCACCAACCCTTGATTCTTTTCCTCAGAGCACCAACCAGGAAGTAGTGAGGTCTTGTGGAAGCTGAGTTACAGCCTGAGACAAGTAGGCATTTAGCTCTTGTGTTCCTGTAGGAACAAAAGCACCTGAATTTAGCTGGCATGGTTCCAACAAACGTGATGGGAAAAAGGAGGGACTCTGTGGGTGGGACTTTCGGGCCATATCAATCTCTTTATTGCTTTTGCATCTGCATTATAGTAGGATGTCTCAAGCTTGCATTTCCTTGTGTTATACTTGTCAGAAGGTACTATTCCATTGATGCTGAGCTGTAGATAAAGAATTTAGTAGAACCAAATCCTCTATCACAGCAACCAATGGTTGGCCCATGATTTAGCATGAGGTCCTTCATCTGCCTGAATTCACTGGAAATGTCAGGAAAAAAAGTTTCTGGACCTGATGATTTTTCTTTTTGGAGGTTCACTTTAGTGTGTAAGACTTGGGGTTATGACCCATCTACTATGTATGCCCCCTTTGAAATGGAGCTATTAGCTTCTAGAAGAGCTATCATCAGAATCCAATATATGACCCATAGATGAGTCTCCAGCCTGGTATACTTATTCTGGGGATGAGTGCGTTTGAAGTCCATGTCTGAAAAAGCCCTTGAACCTCACTCGGACATTGCTTAGTAGGAAATGCAGCATTTTGTGTTGAAAGTGCAAACTTATGCCAACATGACTGAAATATTAGAGAAAAATCTGCATAATGTGAACTTCAGTTTGCTTATGTGCAATATTGTCTGCAAGAAACCAGTGAATACAGAAAACGTTACAGCCAAAGCAAGTCGTAGACAATACACAATCACAGTCCATATAGATGTCTTCATAGATACAGAATGTATGTGCTTTTAACCATTTAATATGTATAAAAGTCTGCTAATACTGTTTACTGGGTTTCTATCTTGTTTTACCATATGTCTTTGATAAAGTTTTTGAGTATTGTATTTCTAATCCCTTAATCACCATAAGCCATATAATTTTTTTTTGGCGGGGTCTTGCTATGTTGTCCTGGCTGCCCTTAGGATTTTGAGTTAAGCAACTCTCAGGCCTCAGCCTCTTAAATAGCTGGGACTACATGTGTGCACACCACTGAGCCCAGTTCTATGATTTTTTTCTTAAGCAAAATTAGTTTGAGGAGCACACTTCTGTACCAGAAATGAAAAGAGAACACCATACAAATTATACAGATATTTAAAAGATCATTTGAAAAACCTCCACTGGAGAAGTGCCCAGTGCTGTGCAAGAAGACATTTTTATTTTTTATTTCTTCTGTATTGGACAGCTGTCCTAAACGTCTTGTGGTTGGCCCCAGCTACATAAACTCCCTACAATTGCTCTATGAGACTTTCTGCCTTGGCTGAAGTTTGAGTCTCAGGTCTACTCCTGATGACTACCCACTGGAACCTCTCGATGATGCTGCCTCTACAACCACTTCACATTTTCCCAATCCTGTTTGTGAGGGGTGATTTCCTCCCCTATGACAAAGCAGAATGCCTCTGGTATGCTAGCAAGACACTGAGTATCTATGACACATGAGTCTGATTTTTTCCCCCTATATTAACAGCCTTCCATTTCTTTTAAATCTGTACTATATTCTCCCTTTATAGCATAAGTCCTAAATAAAATGTCTTCTGGATTATCTGGTTGCATCAGGAAGGGTTCTGGGAGGCTAGAGGTCTCGTGAAAAGACGCTCCACCTTTCTGGTTTGTTTCCTCACCCTGGTGAAGCATGCCAAGGACTGCGGCAAGGCTGACTCAAAGTGAAGATCCCTTTGGCAGTTGATGAGAAACTCAGAAAATGAAAGTATTGCACAGTAGAGGTTTACTTATAAAACTGCCTATCTCCCCTTCTCACTGTTCCTGCAATTTTTATTTTGTGCATTCAGGAGTTTTAAGTAATGCAGGCTTATTATAGAGTAGTTTCTTTAGAAATGGCCCCAGTAAAAAATATTCCAGGTACTTGCCTTGAACAAAGAATTGGACAAGACAAGCCACAAACTGTACTAAACATTTATTTTAAAAGTGCAGAGTAAATGGCTGTGGAAGAAACCAGTTCTGTGGAGCAAACATGGACAGAACAAAGAAAAAGAGGGTAAAAGTAAAAATTGAAGTACATACCGTGTCTGAGAAATGCGGTGCAGATCACCGTGGAAACCCAGGAATGATAGCCACTTTCCATGATGATTTCTTTTCCTTCTCTGGATAGAAGGAATCATGAAGTGTTTTTATAGCCGCCTACTGTGTCCCTTATGGAAGGGTCTGTAGATCCTTCTTACCGGCTGTTATGTGCCTTACAGCTACCTTGGGGTGCTGTGGCTCACTGTCTCCAAGAAGATAGTGATAAAAGAGGTAGTGACCATTGAGTCGCCTGTTCGATAAGAGAAACTTTACTATTCGCCCCAATGTGAGGAAGAGGTCAGATTTCCATGCTGTGTGTAGAGAAGAAGAATGTATGTTAGAGAGGACTTTCAGATACATTTTTAAGAGTCTGAGGGCCATGGATTTACCAACATCCTGTTTACTTATCTGTAGCAGCAATGGAGTCTTGCTTTTTTTGAAAACAAAATTCAACTCTTCCAGAGACTTCATAGGAGTAGCATTTTCCTTTTGAGTAGTCGTCATCTTCACACACTTCAGGTGGAAGTGGCTTTATTCTAGAAAGATTAATCCAATGATCTATCTCTGCCACCTTTATTTCAGTAAGTATGGCAAGGATCACTGAAAAGGGGCCTTTCAATTTTAACTTTAATGGGTCTGTGGGAGTCCCTTTTCTCCAGGTTTTTATGAGTACTTGGTGTCCAAGGCAGACACTAGGTGGTACCCCTGGGCCAGGAGCTATCGGGACTCTTCCCATAGATGTGGATAACCTGTACTACTTGGACCAGATTAATGAGATATTATAGGAGTCTTATGGTTTGTGGGTCTACTATCATATCAGAGGATAGAAATGGCTTCCCATGTAACATCTCAAATGGGTTCAAACTTAGCCCAGTTTGGGGCATGTTATGAACCCTTATGAATGCTATAGGCAATAATCAGAGCTAAGACTCAGACATCTTTAGGCAAAATTTTGCCAGAGCTCAGTTTAGGGTCTGGTTGGCTCTCTCTACCTTTATAAAAGATTGAGGCCACCAGGAAGGATGGAGGTGGCACTTTATTCCTAAACCTTTGCTATTCCGAGGTATTTGAGAGGAAAAGAAGGCCCATTGTTACTCTGAAGGGACTAGGATAGTCCAGATTGGCAATGATTTCTTTAAGAAGTACCTTGATTGCCCCAGTACCTTTTCTGAAAGGGTAAGAAAGACTTTAATACAGCCTATACAGGTGTCAGTTAGGACTAACATCTGTTTAAATCTTCCACATGATGGTTTTTGAGGAAAGTCTAATTACCAGTCTTCCCTAGGGTATGTCCCTCTCCTCTGTACAGGTTCTAATAAAGGAGGTGGTTTGGGCTTGTCT